TTTCCAAAATATATTGATGTTTTTATGTTATATATAAACATTTGATATTTTGAATTTAGTTTTTAGTTTTTCCGTAAAAAATATGTAAATAAAACTATATGTTCATTCAGTATAGTACAAAAATGTTAATTTAGTTCAAGGTTCCTTATATAAGTTGTTCATATGCCAATTATAAAAATATGGAAAACGCATGGTCAAATTTAGAATTTGGACAAAAAACTTAAAAGTTGCGAAAATTTGTAAATTATTTCGAAAATTAGGTTTATTTTATTTCTAAGATTTTAAATTATAATAAGAAATTTCTTATAAAATATTCTACCTCTAACAAAAAAAAAAAGATTACCGGGGAGTTGCATTCATTCTRTATAAACATTAGAAGTTCCTCACAATATAGGATATTCACCTGTAAATTAACTATATTCCAACAATCGATGTTTAATATTTTATTGTTATTCAAAACTAATAACGTAATAACCATAAATGTATTAAACATTCATTATATCATTTTCTATCAATGATAAAATGTTTAAAATATTTTAGTGAAAAATATATAAATTGTTCAATTTGAATAGCTAAGGATTGAAAATTTATTATGACAAGTTACCATCAGGAACTAAAAAATTTAAAAATATATGAACTAGATTTTTTATTCACATTTTAAGTTAAAATTTAGACAAAATTTGAAATTTAAACCAAAAATAACAATTTTATTATTTTGTAGTGATAAAAAAAACTTCCTGTGGATTTGAAACTTACAAGTTTATTATTATTATTACCTTTTTATTATATACAATATACACGGTAACATTTTCAAAACAATTAAGTTAATTGTAGGTATGCTATTGCTTTTTTTTTATAGTTGTGTATTAGTGTATTACTATTAATTGTAATATGAATTACCGTATAATAATTATTTGCAAGGGCCAATAGGTACATTGATATGTTAATATCAATAATAAGGCCGTCTCTGACAGACCGTAACCACTCAGAATCCTTTTTCGTATGCAATGATTTATCATTTAATTCATACCAACTTAACAAATCTATTACAGTGACCTACTCAATTAAGAGTTATGCTTGACTTCTATTGTACTTTGTACAGCAGATTKGTCACATACTTTTTCCCTTTTTCTATCTAAATGTAATCAAGTTTAAAATTATTATTATGTTGTATGATATTTAACGAAAAGGTAGTAATTACTAATTTGTTTTGTTAGAACACCATTAAAGATACTTTGCCGAGATTTTTTCAAAACTTACTCTCGTGTCACATCTATACTATAATATTATGTCTCCCATTATGTGGGCCTATGTATGATAAGGTTTTKATAATTGTAGAATAATAATAATTTCATACATAAAATAGGTACATATCTATTACATTATGGCAATCAATAAAAAATATTAAATTAATAATAATGGTTTTTTTTTTTACTTGTAATTGATTAAATAATGTACCTAATAAAAGCTCAAGTTTATTATTATTGTTTTATTTTATCAGCTTAAGTTTAAGCGGTTATTAGCTAAAATTACTTTAAATTCGTTGTTTTTATAAATGCACCTTATAAATTATACAGATTTAATTAAAAATAAAAGCTAAGAATGTATATCATTATGAATAATAATATAACTAACAAAATTCAGTAATGTCCTTTTAAAGTATAAATCGTTAAATGAAACTATATTAATTATGTAAATTATTCCCATGATAATTTGTTATTTTTTTTTTTTCATTAAAAATGGAACGTAATAAACAAATCATAATCATTTCTTAAAGTAAAAACATGATTATTTAATTGTTTAATAATATTTAATGACGGGCTATGTTAGATATAATTGATATAAATCGTAAAAATAAAATATCAATTTATTTACACATAGTTCAACTGATAATGGCTGTTATTTAAAATAACTATCGGCATCAGTAGCCACTGTTTTTGGGATAAATTATATGTACATATATAAAAATTACTAAATGCGACAGTACGATTAAGAGCTGAGATAATAAATTTGGTTGAGTAGGTAGATGTATAGAGGCTGTCTTGATTCATCCACTGTTTCGTTAATTGATAAATATTTGTTTTTTTAATATTGGAACGTTGGTTTTTATTTCAATAAAAATTAATAAATAAATACATTAAACAATAATCTAWACCAAATTTTATAAAATCGAGCTCTATCTATAATTTAATACAAATCGTAATTTAAAGATTAATTTCACTTTTATACATACTTATACAGTAATTCTTTTTATAATTTCATCATATTGAATAATAAAAACATTATAAAATATAATATTATTTTCAAATGTATAGTTATTTAAAAATATTTTTTTTTTAACTTAACAGAAAAATGAATTATGTATATTTATGATTTAGATAGTAAAATGTACTTTTGAATATATTTTTTAGGGCTCATGCTTTACCATAAAATAATGATCATGAGTTGTGTTATGGAAAACTAAAATATTAATAGAGTTATCGTGTATAAATATGATATAATATGTTATTTGAATAAAAAAAAAATATATATATAACTTTCATAATTTATATATAAAAATATATAAATGCCGAGAGAAATTTGATACTCGGATTTAATAAGTTATTAAATTCATTCTCTTGGGTATACATAATATGAATTATTATAAATTATGAACCAATTATTTTATTAGTCACCTACATACCTACTACTACCAACATATAACTATAATAATGTTGCTTCCTAGTTTCAACTGATAATAATACAAAGAAAATAATAGCAGATATGACAAACAAGTATTTTGCATATTTTCGAGTTTTATTGTATCTTGAAATTATTTTAAAATAATGGACAGGTGAAAAACCATATACCTACCTACTTATACATACATAAACTAATGAAATCAAATTTTAAACATAATATAGGTATCTTATCTTTATTCAAAATAATTTTAAGTCTTTAATTTGGTTTCAAATTTAAATTCAATAACAAAATCCATAAACTTCCGAACACCTAACTAACTCATATTGTTTGAACWCACTATTGAGTTAATTTGTCCAGGAAATTCACGCATCACGCTGACCGTGGAAAACTGAAAGTCGAATTTATTTCTATAGACATTTGCCAACACATTATCCTATAATTCCTATAGATAATTGATATGAATAACTATAAGGTTTTTGTATAGTAGTGTATAATAGCTGCTAGGTGCAACGTTTTGTTATACCCATAACTATATACGCCAAACATACATCATCGGTCATTATGTAAACACATTATTATGTTAACGACAGCTATTGTTTTAATGTAATGCGAACCACTGGAATGTGTTCTAAGATGAATTTCATAAATACGAGTAACTACTAAATGTTCCATGTTGCCTCCTAAACACTATATTATTTTAATTTTAATGTACCTACCTATATTATACAACCATCGGTAATAAATTTAACGAAAAAATACCTTCTGTATACCTAAATATAATGTGTATAAYATTACCTAGGTATATGAATGCACTTCTATGAAATAATAATTTTGTGTGATATTTAATAGTTCTGGCTATTGCCTATATGTATAATGACACAAAATACATTAGGTACAGCTTTATATTATTATGTTATTCGTTTGTTTTTAAAACCATACATTAATGAAGATAATACGTAATACGTAATACTCAAATGGAAATAAATATGCAGTAAGTACTAAGTAGGTCCCTGCTATAGCTATACCTACCTACGTGGCTGGCTATGCTATTTTAGTATTTTATAACTTTAAAACTTTGATAATAACTTTTAATAGCCATGKATATAAACAGAAGTTTAAATAATATTCGTAATATTCGCTTTTTTAAAACTGATTGTACAAATATAAAACTAATAAAAGCCTGTATTTTATTAGATAATACTTTGAATAGGTAACATAAAATATTAAAAACTATCGATATYAATTTATAAGTACTCATTTTTTAAAAATTATAATATTAATAAATAATTTTAATTTTTAACAATTCGACACCTAATTTATTTACTGTATATAATATAATATAGGACATAAATACAAACATGGTATAACTTATATCTTATTTTATTTTATTTTTATTTTACAAATTTATTGGAAATATTTTAAACTTTTTTTTTTTATTCTAGACATTAAAAATGAAATATTTTGTTACCATTTTTATGGTTTTCCATATATCTCTCGTTTTACTGCAAAATACGTCAACTGCATCACCTCTAGATAACTACTTGGATAGAGATTCGCTTGGTAAGTATAGAATAATTTTTTTAACTGACTATAGAATAAATAATTCAAAAACAATTAATATTTAATAAGTATACAACATCAATATACCAGTTACCACTAATTCACGTAGTAGAGCGGAAGTCGAAAATGYTAATAAAAAAAAAATAATAAGCTCTATTTATTAACTAATATTTTTACTATATTATTTATTTGGCAAAAATAATTAAATAACAACAATACATCTCCAACRACAAGGTGATTATAGTCTAAAATAAATTACTTAAATTTTAAGATGTATGTTATAGAGAAAATATAATTCCCTTAAGAAGTAAAATTATTATTTTATTTTTATTAGAAAAATGCCTTGACTGCTAAGTTATGCTAAGCTAATGGCTGGTTTTAATACTTAAAATTTTTATTATATTAATATATAAATATTTTTTTAATGATTTGTTTTTACGAAAATGTATGTAATTTAATACATACCATAATAAGCGAGGTTCACTTATAAAAATGTCTTTATTTTTAAAAAGTTGTCAAGAATTTTATTTTTTGATGAACAGTTTTTGCAACCATCGAAATATGAAATTATTTTTGTTTTGCATACAAACTTCAATATTAACAATCCACCTCGTWAAGCAGACACCAAATAATAATCTRAGTAGGTATCTAAGATAAAAACATTACAAACATATAACATATAATATTATTATTTATTAATGGGTACATATTTTTTCAGCTTATGATAATTAACCGTGATTCACAATGAATATTAAATAAAGATACAATAATACATTACCTAGTATAGGTACAGGTTATACCTGTATTATAGTATTAAATAATATTATTAAGATATGTAGGTAACTCAATTTGGATTTAATAAAGTGTTTTAAATTATATTATATTAATAAAATATAATATACAATTACTTACACATTAAGATTGTTCAATTATATTATTAAGAAATTAGAATCCCGAAGTGTTACATTAGGTAGTTGAATTGTAACGGCATGAATAACAATATTTTAAAATTAAAATATCTATCTACCTATTCTTATATTTCAGTCATCCTAGAAAAATTAAAAATGATCTGTATAATTTTAACTAAAACGTCAAAACATGACTAGATAGGCTTATTGTAATACGTGCCCTTTGAATTCAAGTACCTATAGAGCTAAAGAATAATCACATCATGTACTATTTTTCACTCCACCCTTTTATACAGCCTTTCRCATGATATTTATCAGATACTTACGATATAATAATTGTAACTCTATATATAGTCTAAATTTAACCGAAAGCTACTAAACTACTTAGCATCCATTTAGAATAATTTGTGTATTTTATTCCTATATACTATTAAACAAATTCACATTATCAAATCCATTTTTTATATAAATTCTTTGATAATAATTAGGTATTTAGATTTTAGGTACCTACTGGTACATATTATATGATAATTATAAATAAAAATAATAATCAAATTGTATGTAAATGTACCTAATATTAATTTTAGAATATATATTATGAACATTTAAATCTAAGACCAGTGTATTATATTAGAAATAAAAAGGGTCTAAACAATTATAATAATACGGCTTCCTCAGCCCCTTTGGTTATTGTGCCCTTGATATAAATATTATATTATTTTACAATTTATTATTTAACAGTTCAAAAATAAGTTTGTAAAATTAGTTACCCAATGTTCCGAATAAATTATATAATAGTTGTGTGCAGCCGAGCAGGTAATGGCGGAATACAATATACATATTATACTGTTAATAAATATAACACATAATGATCATTTGATAWGATATAGATATAACATATTACTACATTGAGTTTTTTTAGAATATTTTTGTATTTCACATTATAAATATATAAAATTTAATCTAAAAAAGTTTCAATAATCAAAATGTATTACCTATTATATAATTTTTAATATGTAATTTTCACTCAATAAGATGCACCTACGATGTAGAATGTATGAGCTCATATAGTTATTATTTTATAACTTTATATACTTTGTACTTTTAAACTGGTTGAAAATGAAATTGAAGAATAAAATAATAATATATCTCTGTTTATCCAATACAATAATATATTTGTATAACAGTATACCTACCTAATTCTGTATATTTTTAGACGCTGAAACATGTTACTTATTTAGTTATTTATGGCACATATTGATATTAATAGTGTATTTATTACAATATAACATCGAAAAACAACTTGTAGGTATACTTTTATTTTTTATTTTTTTTTTTTAGAGGAAGAAAATGGAGTTGAACTGTTGACAGACATAGAAGATTACACGGACAAGGATGCAGAAGATAATGGATTAATTTTAKCCGATGTACAAAAAAGGTAAGAACAAACATCACTATTACACTAATACATCGATACAATTTATTTTTAAAATATAATTTCTTCATTGAATGAATTGTGTTGAATACAATATTGAGAAACAATTATTTTTTATGGAAGTAATATAATAGTAAATATTTTCTGTTTTATCTATTTTTTGTTAAATAAGGAAACCGGGCCATAAAATATTTCGTAGATATTGTGTGCCAAGAGGAGGAAACTGCGACCACAGGCCCAAGTACTGCTGTAACAGTAGTTCTTGTCGTTGCAATCTTTGGGGAACAAATTGCAAATGTCAAAGAATGGGAATTTTTCAGAGGTGGGGAAAGTAAATGAGTTAGAGTTGAAATGACTTATTGAAAAAAAATATTATTTCAAGCTCATCTCAGTCTACAAAAACAAAGATTATTTCATTACTTTGAATTCATTAGTATACATTTATATTTGTTTGTCGTTTATTGTGTTTTCTTTAGAATAAAATTAATATCTAATAGTCTGAAATTTATTGTTTTTTTTTTATAGAAATTACTCAGCTTTTATGATTATATTATTATAATACTATAGTATACAATAGTATATGATATTGGTATATTATCAACATTTTWATTTATTTACTTATGATAATATGTAAATATACAATCATTTTAAAGGATAATATTGTATATATTATTATCATGCGTAGAAAATATTTTCTAGTGATCCCGTAAAATACATGATACGGTGTCATAAAGATCACGTATATAATATAAAACCTAACTAAATATTATTTCAAGAATTCTAAACGCATTCGTTTGTGCAACTGATTGCTGTATCTCATCCGTCCATCAGTCTTGTCCAGTACTTCTCAAACTTGCTTTGTCATTGGGTCCCTAAATGTTATGTAAAACTGTCAAGTCCCCCTCCAAGTACTATAATTATTTATTTTCCTGAAAAGTTACGAGAACCTAAAAAAAGGTCTTCATTCGGAAAATGTAAACGGGGCCAACGATTGTCCTTTTTTTTGTATATTCGATATGGAAATAAATGATAAATTTAATAATAATAAAATAATGAATAACGTTAAGTGTTTGTATATCAATATATAATTTTATATAATTTAATTCTGCTATAATAAATTTGTATACTTCTTAGTARTATGAAAATGAAAATAAAAAGGAAATAACTTTTAAAGAATAGTTAGAATCACCTCCCCGTGATATTATCTGGATAATCCTAAAAGTATGAAAATTTGAACATATTATATTTATTCRGGCCAAGTTTAAAATTTAACATATCAATCATTTTTACCAGAAATAAAAATAAGCAGAGTTTAAATAGACCTTTTCAATGGTTATTTTTATCCAGACCTAGTTTAAAGTTTAAATKGCATATTAAGATTATTATTGTAATTTATTGTGAGATAACTGCTTCTCCAATATAATTTAAATTCAAATAACTAATCATTTAATTTTTATGTTGTCAAAAATAACTATGGTTTTTTTCATAAACGCCTAAGTACTTAAGAAAATATTTGAAATAAAATAAACAGATTCAAACGCTCTCCCTCTCCCATCAGTAAGTTATATATTTAAAACCACCTGTTTGAGAAGCCTTGCTCAAATCTATAGCTATACCATAAAATGTGTGCAAAGGCTATAGGCACTTTCCGGCTGAGAAGTAGTGAGTTATTGTAAGCCACTTAATCTCCCGGTGGTTAAAAGGATCTGATAATAATAACAGTGCAGCGTCGCACCAGCCCCATCGCTATATATAGGTATATTTAATTTCCCAATAGTGTGTACTCCTTTCTTTTCGTCATATTATCCTTGTGATTCAGTGAAACGAGTGTTTTAACTATTAATGCATTTGTTGCTATTAGAGAGTACCTATCTGTTCATTGAGTAAAGGTMACTCTATCTAATGGACGTATTTAATTTGAATTCAATGATGAAGTATTGCATACAAAAAAGTAAAAACGATTCTGATCAGATACGTCTGTCAGCCTAATATACTCTAAGTATTTAACTATTATGTATTCATATTACTTTTCTAGTCATTTGTTTTACCATCATGGCATCATAAGTAATATGGTACCAAGGTTAAATTATTTTTTGACAAAATCATCGCATTTACTTTATTATTGATTACATATTAATCATAGCAGACAGGTTCATATAATATAACTATTAACTTCAGTTAACATAGGGTGAATATATTGTGTGTTGTATAAAAAGGTAATACTAAGCTTTCCTAATACTAATAAAATATTTTGAAAATGCTATTGTATATATTATAACTTAATGTATAATAGTCACGCTATCGGTCGGTGTGCTGTTTCTTATCGGTCGGTGTTACTTATGCACAGAAAGGAGTCTCTAGCGAGACTCTTCGATATTGTCTATGGTGGTAAGGAATAAATTATTCCGAATAATAATAATAATAAAGGTATGTAAACGTTTCAAATCCTCATATATAATATTTTTAAATTACTGCAAAATAACTAAAGTCGTTATTCTTAGTTTAAACGTCAAATATCCAATTTTATCAAAATATCAAATACCTATATAGCATATAAATAAAAACATATYCAAACATATTATTAACACTATAAAAAAAACACAAATTTAGAGTATAYCATTTAAATTTGTCTTATAAGAACGTAGAGTGTAATTTCACATATGTATGTTTTAATGTTTTTATGAACACCTGAAATTTAAATTTTGACGAAATTGAAAAGATATTATCACGTAAGACAATGATTACTCTACAAATGTTTTTTTAATTCTTTTGTGAATTCAAATAGTTTTAATTGCAAAAAYTTAAAAYACCACGATTGCTTAAATAAACATTTTATAAACATTGGTTGATGAAATGTTCAGAATATTAGGCTAAATTTATGCTAGGATAGGTATATCCTTGCTATGTACTAATTAATCGTTACTGACACTTTAAATTTAAATATCTGGTTTCTGGCATCGATAATCAATAATAATTGTAAACATTTTCTACTATTTTCATAATATTATTCCTCGCTATGGCTTTGTCCAAATTATGTTGGTCACAATTTACTAGATATGCTCGGTTTCACTTGGGTATTACTGAGGTTTGGCCGATTTTTCCGCTCGTAAGTCGTAACATATAATAATATCATACCTATCCAAATATATTATATTTTATTTCTCTATGTACTACTCTATTGTAATTTTTTAATAACTGTGATCTGTAAATATTTTCCATTTCTATCTAATTATTGTTATAATGGGTTTTGGCATAAAAAGAACCTCTTTTAGAGCCCCAAAATCCCTCTACTATTTAAACATATGCGGACAAGTTAAAATGTACATAGTTACTTATATAAATTCAGCACTTGAAACTTCAGTTTTCATACAAAATATATCACATCGAAAACCATTAAATTCACTGATACCACTTTAAATTTAGATTAATTTTTACAAAGCAAAAAACTTAAATTATAAACACAAAATATATAACTATTGATTATTAATTATAYTAACAAATTTACAATATTATATTATATAAAATTACCTTAAATATTTTAATACAATTAGATTTTCCACTAAATAAAATGTATTATAACTGTGAAAATATTATGGTATTATTTAAATTGGTTTGGATATCCACCTTTAGCCAGATAAAATCCTTTACTGATGTACACAAAAGAAGAGACACAAATAAATAGCGAAAAATAAGTAGACCGTGAATAGCATGAATGTAAGCTATAATCTTAGCTTATAAATACGTTACACGAACTATCATTCGAGATCTTTCAGGCTTAAAGTGTTATTTTATTTTATCAAGATAACGTGTATCAAATTCCACGAAAGGGATGAAGTTTCAAATATCAGAGTCAACAGGATAATTACCATATTTGTTATATATAATATTATAGAAATACACAAGAAAATCAAAAGATAGTACTTTAAAATATAAAATTTTTCGGGAGGTTAGGTTAGGGTTTTAAACGTCAAACTATAATGTCTTCATTAATTTTTAATTATTGTCAAAATAAAGTAGTTCTGCAATTTATACAAGTCCTACAATTTGTTTTTGTCCTATGCAAAATTTAACCTTTTCAAWAAAATTTAAAATAATTCAGGTGAAAATCAAATTATTCTATAAATATATAATTTAGGCACTTTGTTAATATTTATTTATTTCACTTAGTTCGAACTTTTTGTTCTAAATTAAATGTAAGACTCTCAGAAAAGAAATTTTGTTTAAGAAGATGATATACCAGCATTTTACCTATGGGTGATGCCAATGGATGTATTGCGATGTTGAATCCAAATAGTTAATGATATCAACAGAAAATGTTTTATTGATAAATGTAATAATAATTAATGATATTATAGAAAAACTATCTTATGATTATTTCAAAGTTGACCCAATGAACAAAAAATAATACTTTTGGTTATCACTAATTCATTTTAGAATACATTGAGAATCTATTAAGCTTAACACAATAGTTAAAAATCAAATGGTTCTACTCATTTCACTATTAAATTTGTAAATTGTATTGATTTAGAACTTCTTAGAAGTTTTTGGTAGTTCTTCGCTTWAATTGTTATCCGTGTGCTTAAATTATAAATCATTGATAACTAAACCTATAGGACTGTTTCATCTATTTTGTATAAAAAATGTAGTTTTCAAAAAATTGATTTTGGACCTTTTTAAAGGAGCACATGGTACATCTTTATTAATTTCCATAATTACACAAATCATATTCTAAAAAAAAAAAAAAAAAATTTGGGAAAAAATGGTGATAATTCACTTGATATATTTAACTGTTGCTTAAAATNATCTTTATTAATTTCCATAATTACACAAATCATAATTTAAAAAAAAAAAAAAAAAAAATGATAAAAAAAATAAATATTAACTTGATATATTTAACTGTTGCTTAAAATATAATTATATACTACCCTTAAATATGTAAAAAAAAAAAAAAAAAAAATGATAAAAAAAATAAATATTAACTTGATATATTTAACTGTTGCTTAAAATATAATTATATACTACCCTTAAATATGTATAAAATGATTTAATTCAAAATAAAATATATTTTTACGTAATAAATAAATAATTTGAATTAACTTTTTAAAGTTATTGTCATATTTTACACGTAAGTACTTATATGATTTGTAAAAGCACAACTCGTAGGTATAACTTACAAATTAATATAAAAACAATTGAATTAATTATAAATTACACTAATAACGTAATCAATAATTCAAACGTATCACGTTATAGATATAGGTACTTATAACGTTGCATCTTGCAATACTTTAGTGTTACGACGAGAGTACAAAATAACAACAAGTTTGAAGATACCTACCTATTTTACAAGCTCAAGCTAAGTATATTATTGTGTATATTGGTACTGTTGTAATGAATACTAATACTGTGATGCAGTATACCATAATCAGTAGGTATGCACTAATCACCATTGTTTAATGGCAAAATGTATAATATTTTATATTATTTAGTAGTAATAAAATACATAAATTGCAAATGACAACTGATAAAACGTACCTATGTTCAATGTCATTTGTAAAACTATCAATAAACCATAATTGGTGTCTATGAAACCATTAACTATAGATGTCTAGATATACTATTAATCAGTTATTCTGTGGAAAAATTAAGTACTAGGAATAATTTTCGAAACTTTTTACTAACTAATATTTAAAAAAATGTTTAGTGCTTTTGATATTATATTCATTATAATGAGAAATATTTTTCCTGAAATTGGTTATTCTCAATTTGCGTTCAATTGATTATTTTCAAACCTTGGTCGATATATACGATTTTTGCTGTAAATTAAACAACAGTTATTTTAAATAAATCCACTTTGAATAAAAAACAAATTTCCTAGACATGAAATACATTTTATTGCATCATATTTAAAATTGATTATTCACGGGTTTGGCATCTTATTATTTGAATAATAGATAAGTATACTATGGTAGTGTAATACAACATATAATGTTTATTTTAAAATATAATATAGTGGAACTCTAAATACTTCAAACATTTTTGTACCCAAAAAGTTTGAAAAAAAAATGATCATATTATCCGATTACGTATAAATGTATAACCATACGTCCATACTGATGATAAATTGAAAACAGATGAAGTATCAGCTAGCAGTAGGTAACTAAACTTGCCTAATACATTTTCTAATGCCTACAAATATCATTTTTTTAATAGGTTGTACAATATCAATAGGTCCATTATTATTTATTATGTACCATCACTTATATCGACGATAGGTACAAAATATATCTACTAAAATATAACACAGGTCAACAACAGAATCGTGATGACGAACAGAATGAAGAAAAACAGGTTTTCKATGTGACTGTAAAATACTTAAGATAATATTGATAATATTATTCAAACATTTTGTAGGTCCAAATAAAATACACACAATTTATAGTCGAATGTCTTGCGACTGAATACGGGCTAATAAACAGATAGGAACTTTTTACATCGAGTTTATTCAAGTTCAATGACATGAAATTATAAACATTCTAATTATGCAAATACAAGAAAGTTATAATAGTAACAGCTCGATAGTTCACGAAGTTCTCAGATGCGTACTTATTTAAGGCTAAATTCGGTGAAGTGCACGAACACAATATTATCGAACTCGATAGCAGCGTACGAGTCATTCATGAAATATTAATTCATTAGGTACCTTACGTAAAATAAAAATAAAACATTAATTTTGTCGATACGCTTGTTGTTACGAATTGTATTTACCTATGGCATGGGCATAATTAAAAAGAAAAAATCGTACCTGTGCCTAAATCGTAATAATATTATAGCACAGGTTTCAACACCGGGCCAGACTGCAGGTGCAGCGTGCATAATATTATTATAATAATATCATATTACCACTATAGGAACATAGATGTACATAATATTATATTCACTGCCGTCTTCGCAAGTTGTTGTGCTGCGTGTGCGGCATGTGGTGATAACCGGAACTGGCGGGGCGGAGAACCGTTGTAACCGTCTCTCGTTCCCGCCCGACGCACTCGGTCACTATATTATGTGATCACGTCTTGTTGTATTATAATGGTACGATTAGAAATATTGGTAGGTACCTTACTGGGTAATTAGTAGGTAATAACGATGATAACAATGCGACTATTAAGTGCAATACCTACAATTCTATCGCGTATACTATACTTCTAACATAATATAAACCTAGGTAGGTACCTAAAAATATGATACCGTAATTGTTTTTCAATCGGCTATGATATATTAACTGTTATATCACGATAATACCAACCATCGATATCGTTTCTTCCACTCATCGAGAAACGACTATATCATTATATATTATTTATTAACCGGGACGCGTGGCAGGTCTATACCGCGGTATAGAACCTCGATARTATTTATAAATATACTTGCATACGCTGACGCTGCAGTAAGTCGTAATGCACAACAATAATATATAAGTACCTAGTAAAAGTGCACGGTGAAAAAAAAGCAGCGGACGCGCGTTGGTCACGACATGTAAGGTTTAGCCGTGGCGCGCCGGTCTGTCGCGTCTCCGTCACGTTCGGCCGGCCAAGCTTCACGTCACTATACACGCGATACTACGCGCGTAGGCACACGGCAGACGATACATCGTCCACCCGGCCCCGGCGGCGACGGCAGTCTTCCGTGGCCGTCCAGCGTCCGAATAATAATGACGACGACGACGAGTGAAGAAAGAAGAGTAAAAAAGTCGGGTGCGCGTACGTAATACGATTCACACGCTACACGCATCCCACCACCACCTCACTCTCTCTGCCCAAAGATGATTCTCGCGTTGGTAATATTACTCGCGTTTCATGTGTGTACAAAATATAACATAATATTATTATCATTAAAGCACTGCGCAACAGCACCTATAAGGCTATAACCATATGAACATATTATACATAGTTACGATGTCATTATATTTTTTTTATGGATGGCATATTTACTTACTGCAGGTGCGCACATGTTATAAAATTAAAATAATGTTATATATATTTAGTATATTGTACTAAATATCAATTGTGTATTGTCAACATAATGGTCAAGTTGTAATAGTCACCGACTAAAAGCTAATTAAAATAAAAGCAATAAATAAGTAGTACTTATATGTACACCACTACAATAACATTATTAGGTGTACCATGCACGTGATGCGCGTTTTTAAAATATATTATATTAACCGCACCCAGACCCAGGTACACTGTACAGAGTACGGTACGTACCGCGGTATAAGATTATTTATTATTATTATTACATGACGTTATACGCACAGGTATTATATACCTCTACTCCGACAGCCATCGCCGAGCGCGGTCGCCCGCGCGTGTGAGTGTGTTGTTGGTTACGTGTTAGTTTCGTTCGGCCGCCCCACCATCGGACGGGTTTTGTTTTGTTGTCGTGTGTATGGTTTTTTTTCCACCGCCGCGGAGAGAGAGCTTGCTGGCCTACTCTGTAACCACACCGTTTGCCAGCAGTGTACCAGCGACGTGTAATACGRCCAGTAAGTTGTTATACCATATCGTATCCGTTATTGTTGTTGTTGTGGCTGTTATCATCGCCATCGTCGTTATCGTTGTTTAAAAAATTATTGTTTTGTTAAAATATAATATATTATAATATTATACGGTCCGTGTGAACTGCTCGCGGGTGATATTTATTTTAACAATTCTCCCGCCGATTCATGTATCAGTCGATGTGGAAAATGTGACGATCCGTTGCTCGTATACCAGCTCAAGACTACCGCGGGAGATAAATAACCGCTTCAAGAACTTAAAAGCTTCAAGCGCCGTTACCAACCATACCTGACAGAGTGGACGATTGCGCGCGAAGACCGGCCGGTTATCGTACGCCGCGCAGTCCTATTGCAGCTGTTGCTGTCACTAACGCATGTGTGCCTATATCGTATTATTAGTAAGTCGAGAATTGCTTTTGAAGTTCGGTTTTATAGAATTATCTCATTACGATTACATGATTGTTTGGTGGTATCTACCTATGTGGTTATATTATATACTGTGTAATTGTAATACACGTCGTGTATTGACAAAATCATTATCGACATCTCACGCACAATATCGATGTCATCACTACGATACGTATTTACATAATTTAATATATATATACCTACGTGCTATCATCAGTATATGCGTGTAAAAAAAAATAATCTATATGGTGCAAGTACCCGGTACACACTATTATGTAAACTATTTATAGCTGGTATACGAATAAACACATTACGTCCACTTCGGATTTTTTTTTCTGTTGTGAAATTTGGAAAAAGTTTTCTCGCACCGACGAGCGTTGCGTTTCAAATTTCCATGCCAACCATCGGGTCGTGAACAAACGTTTGTTTGTTTGTGTGTGTGTGTTTGGCGTGTGTGCGCGCGCGTATATAAAATAATATGTGGTACGCTTGTGTGTGCATGTGGGCGAGAGYGCACCACCGTCCTTCGCAACGATTTCCGACTGCTAATCAATTGCGTTAAAAATGAAAAAATAAAAATACCAACGTCACCGAGTCACTCTTTTTCCAAAACACATCGCCGCGATTGATCCTGCTCGCTAGCCGTCCACTAGTTTCGCAACACGTAAAACGATCATATTATATTCGATATAATATACGTCTTTTGACGTAGGTATATAGTGGTCCTCCYGATCAGAGTGCGTACGGAACGAGAAAAAAATGAGTCCACTCCTCGTTGTTTCAACACACGTGTACCGTATAGTTAGGTCTACCTATAACTACAATACAGGTTTCGGCTCACGCGCGCGCACCAACGGGTCTCTGTAAAATTCCAATATAATATTATTATTATGTGTTATTKATTACACTTTGGCGATACTCAAACACTTAAACATCTGCAACAACATCATCGGTTTTACTTTTTTTTATAAATCGACAGTTTTTACTTTTATATAGGTGTCCGCACGAAACAAGCAAATTTGTATACACAATATTGCGCGTGTTCAACGAATTGTCAGAATTACACGGTAACGTGTTAAAGTCCGTTTGTTTTAAAACCATCAAACGGTGTACAATTGAACCATTATTTTTAAGTCGAATTTCAGTTTTGTTACGCCCTGTTACGTCCTGTATATCTACCGTACAAACTATTTATTTTAAATATCCGTATTCAAAAAAAAAATATATATATATATGTATATACTAAATAATTGTATGGCGATCCAATATACAAATTACATAGTTAACAGCATTATCAGGTTCAGTTATCTATTGATAGGATTGCATAAACAGTATTATATCCGTTAAACCTGTAGGTATGTACATTAAGGTGTACACTTTACCTAATTAAAATGATATTATCATCTACATAACATATTTTCAGTAATGTCATATTTCTATGTATTATAAGCTTAAAACATGAAATTGAATACATAAAAAAAAACGCCACCTCATTGTTCTCTTTGTTATGGCTCATTAGCTATTAACTTGTAGTTGTAACTATTATTAGTGTAAACGGCATTCTATTAAAAAAACAAACTCAAAATTTTGTCAATTTAAAATATTTTTGTTTAACATAATTGAAGAACAGCAATATTTAGCTTAATATCCGTGATTATTTGATTAGTTAGTATTATTTAGTGTTGTTTGTCTCAAATTATATGAATTTTAGGTTCTAATCAATGCAATATTATAGTATATGAATACCTATATACTATATAATATATATACTATATTTTGAAAATGCTATGTCATTATTTATGCCTTACGGACACCACAATTTAAAAATAAAAGTACCTTTAGCAAAAGTTTCTCCAAGTACGTATAACTATTGATTAGAAATGTATTGTGTAATGTTTATTTAAGAAAATTTATAAAAATCTGTTTAACTGTTGTAGGTATGTAAAGATAAGACAAATTCATTAGATATCTTATTATTTCATCATGGATTATTAATATATTACATTATTCTATTATTCAAATTAAATTAAATAAACTATTATTAATGATAATAAATAAATATACTAAGTATAGTAAGTATATTTCATAAATTAGTAAATCCATTAAAAAAAAAAAAAAAACTATTCAAAAGATACCCTAGATAATATTTTACCTCTAAATTTAAATTTGATAGTAGATAAAGTCACTTTAGTATTAAAAATAATAGACTAAACGGATTCTTCTGAACTTTAAATTGTCCATGTATGTGTTAGTAAGACCGAAAAAAACTGCACACGCGGGTATAGAAATAGTTTGCCCTAATCCAAAAGATATTATTATGAGGAACATTTTTTATTTCTGATTTCTTTATATTACCTATATTATTGAGGTAAACTTAGGTTAAAATTGATTAAATAAAAAAATGTAATGTAAATTTGATAAAGTTGACTGACAAGTGTGTGGACGTATAATGGCATAGTTTATACCTTCTATTAAAGTTGACAATTACAAATTATATTTATTTACATATTATATATTTCTTGTATAGGTATAATATGTAGAATATCTACTAAATTCTCGACTAAATTATAATATATTATATCAATGATACACTATATTTCATAATATTGTAATGTTATAAACTAAAACATTGAACTTCCAACGAAATTCATCAAATTCAACTAGCCGTTAAAGTGGATTATGAAAGAATAAAGGTTTCCAATTTCTGAGAGTAACTTTACTGACAATCTAATTTTTAGAAGTTGAATATGAAATATTCAATATATTGTAATTAACTTTGATCGATCTCAAATCATAATGCATAAAATTGTATTTTATTATTAAAAGATTGTGCGAATAGTTTCGATCAACAATATTAAATTTTGATAACTGAAAAGTAAATTGTAATAAAAATAAAATAATATCCATTACAAGACGATTATAATGTCAACATTTATATGGTATAGATAATATTATATTAACGGGAATCTGAATTGCGAGTGAAACTTAAATATTTTGACGGATGTTCAACACGATTGACAACAGAATATGATATTACAGAGTTATTTTAAAATTAACAATAAKTAATAGAATAAAATAATTCACATTGAGGTAGTCAAGGACATCAAAAAAATTTAAAGCGAAATAGGAATTTAAAAATATACATATATATTGAACACTAATAATATAATAATATTAATATATTTTAAATTAGAAAAAAAATGTTTAGGTAGATACACATTATTTTTTTAAGACTCTATTATATGGATATGATACCTGCTACTTACACTTAATTACTATCAAAAATATTGTTCTTATYATGAATATATTACAGTGTTTATCTCTTTTTGGTGATTCTGATTAAAATCAATCAAACAAAAGATTAAGAAAATTATTTTAAGTAATGCATTGTTTTTTAATATTTGGTAATTCTGATTTATGTTATAGGTAGGTATTATTTTTATGAGTAATTTGAGTAATAACTATAAAATTGAGCAGATGAATAAATTGAATGATATTTTTACAAATTTTAATAAGTATTATCATTGGCTTGATAATTAAATGATGCATTTCTTCATTTTGCATTAATAAAATATTATTATTTTTCAATATTGTTTGCAGTTGACGACAAAAATATACTGACCACCAGACCAAATAAATAATTTAAGGTAGCTACTCATTTGTGACCGTTACGTTTGTTGGGTTACATTGGGGTTAGGTAACTAGATAATTTGGCGCGAATCGTTTATACATGCACAATACGGATGATATTCGACCGAGTTTACGTAATCGAGTTGGTTCCGACAGAAGTAGRTAAGTAACTAATTGTCAATTGAGCATAACGTTTGATAGTTTTACTTTCTATAACATATGAATAGGGTTAGGATGTTTATGACTTTAAAAACACTAAAAAAATGCATGCAAATATGCAAAATAAATATCAAAATATGCCCTTAAAAAAAATTAAACCTGTCGTTTTAAAATTTTATTTCTAATTAAAATGTATTTTTAATTAATTTATAACTTTTTTTTATAACTTTAAACTTAAATACAAATATAAAAAATATGATATTTTGAAATTAAAAACATAGATACTTACGATAAATTAATATTTAATTTTGTTTTTACTCAAAAGACACAAATTGGTATACTTATTATTTACAAAAGCCACAGTGGTACACCACTAAAGATTTTATAATGCAGTTATTTTATCCTATCGACACACTATCGTAATCATCGGTCGTAAACATGATTAATAAACGTAGAGTTAAATTTAAGATAATAGTAAATAATAAAGTTACGTTAATTATATACTACAGGTTTCATATTTTCTCATTTTAGTTAAATGTGAAACCGACTGTGCCTACCTATGGGTTTTTATTGAGGTTTATATTGTATTTAAGTTATTTTTTGCCGAAATATGTATTTATTTACTATTTTTTTCAAAATATGCATTTATTCAATAAGTAAATAAATTCTTAATTTGATATGAGTTGTTTAAGAATGACTGATTATTCGTATAAATTAACATTAAACCATTACGTAAAGATATTAGGGATACATTTGATGACACCTGAGTTAAATATTTTTGATTAAAATATATGTATTCAAATTCAATATCTAAATTTGTTTTTTTTTAAGTTTTTAAATTAGGTAATAATAATTTATATCGTACAATTTAAAGTTATAGTTATTTTGGTAAAAATTTGTTATGTAAATTGTTGAAATTCTATTGCATATTTTTACGATTTTCACTACATATCACGTCATGGCATATTTTGATACTTTTAAGCGTACCTATAAAATTCACGCTCTATTCATCATTATAGTTAGCTATTTAGTACTTGGTAGACAACCAAGCATTTATGTTTGATTAAGTAATGTTTAGTATATATCATTTTATTTCTTTTCACCTCTGATTGAACTATATTTGTTCTGTTCATAATTTGCATATGGGTTTAACAACCTATAAATTGAGTACAATTATTATAAGATTTATTTCAATGTCACAATCATCCTTGCAGTAAATTGCTTTAAAGTCTGTTTTAACGATGGCAATATCATCAAACATCATACGATTATCTATGCCCTATACGTATTGTAATATCATACATTTTGAGTACAAAATACATTTTTGAATATTTATTTGGAACGATAAATATTATCAATAATAAAATAACTTCTGTTATTACAATTTTAATGTTATACTTTATTCTCTATAGATAATAGTAGGTTTTTCATGAATCATGAATTATTTTTTTGTGGAAAATAATCTACTTTTATAAGTACACWTACAAAGTAAAATTTATTGATTACAAAATTTGATCAAAATATTTATAAGGTCATAACTCATAATTATGTACAATAATATAATATAATTATAATCTATATATAATTAAATAGTAAAATATATCAAGTTAGTTAGCTTTAAACGAATTAAAAATATAAATTAAATATATCTATTTTGCTTCGAATTATAATTATAATATTTGATAATTATTATTAAGTAAATAAATATTAAATAAATAAAATATTTAATCTGATACAAGTTGAAGAATTGGTTTATAATGCAATACAATAGTCAATAATAGCCAATAGGTAATATTCAAACTGTATATTTTACCTATATGGCTATATCACGCATAGGCGTAGTAAGCATATAGCTAAATAGCTTATTCCATGAAATTTATTGTAGTATGCAAAGTAAAAATAAATGATTGATCCATATACAAAATGATTAAAAACATATTTTTAGGATTTGGACATCGATATTTAATGATAGAATATTATAATAGTTTCTTGGATATTTGGTTATGAACTCTTTAGTACAAACAGAAAACAGTGGTTATAATAATTAATTCGCCTTCTAACGTATTCTACATAATGAATCATCGTTTATATTAATATAGGTGTATACCTACTATATAGGCAATTAACCATGTCATTATAAGTGGGCTGGGGTTAATAAATTACAAGCGTCGGGTCAAATGACTAAAATGTTATGTACCTTAGACCCTATAATTGCACGCGCCTAWATTGTGTCAGAGAGAAACAATTTTATTGTCTTCGGAAAYCAGCATGTAAATTGTCATTCTTTTAAATTATTTTCAAAACAATTTTTTGAGTAAAACGTTTTCTAAACTGGAATAGGTAATGTTAATGATAAGTACCTTAATACACTAATTTCAAATTATCATTTTTGTATGTGCAAGTTTTTTGCTCTCTAGTTCTGTCTTGAAAAATAAAAATATTGATAATAATTTATATAATATAACTTCTAATTAAACAATAAAAAATAAAATATACATAATTTATAAAATTACATTAAGTTGATTAAATTTAAATATATTGTAATTAACCCATTATAATTTTCCAAACCAAGAAAATAAATAAATGTGAATAATGTTTAGAATCATGCATTATAATTGTACCATTTTACATAATCGTATTTATATACTAATTAAGAATATCATAATAATAATGTAATAATTKTCGTTGTATATTTATATGAAATAAATTACTCGTATAATAATGAACTGATATTTTGATATAAATAATTGATTTTATCGAAAGATTAACGATTTTTTATTAATTTCATGTATAAAAAATTTAYTACAATATTATTGTAAACATTTCTAAATCATTTTAGCACAGGGTTGTGGTGGTTATAGATAATTAAAATAATGTTTAACTATACAACCAATTTGTTATACTTTTAAAAACCTAATAAATTCTATGAAATGTTTAAGAAAAATAAAATAGTTCAATAACTAATTTTTTTTTCATTTTTAGTAAATTTATAAGTTGTCTCATATCAGGCATCAGTACCGATAAAAGTATTATTGCATAGTTACGACTCACAAAGCTATAATACAAAAACAGAGTTTTAGAAAAATTTACATTTAGATGKCAAAAATGTTTAGTATTGTAACAAAATTGTACAAATATTATAAATAAATCTAAGAAAGCAATTTATGTATTATATTATAAGTATTTTTAAGACCCAATGTTTGTATTTCACTAAACTTAAAAGCGGAAATGTTTACAATATAGTTTTTATTTAAAAAATTTTAATTCAAATAATTCTTTGTATTAAAAAATAGGTAAATACATTACGTATTAAGCTATTTTTTTTTTTCTTTATAAATATATATTATCAAGTTGTTCGCACTTATTTTAACTCTATAATTGTGTGCGTGCGTGTGAGTGTTGTCCTATTCTAATTTTGCACAGTTTTTTTCATTAAATTTTTAAATCTTAGTTGTAATTTAAGTTTTTCCCGTTTATTTAAACATTTATGTCAACTCTAGTTTCTTGATCGTCTATTTTGTGTGTAATTTTTACATTTTACTTTAGAGTATACAACATGTGTACACATTTTGTSTATGTCCTCGTCGTCTTGGTTGTTTTATGATTCTGTTTTGATGAATGGCGTACGAGCATATTATTAAAGAATACTTTCACCAACAGTGGCTACAGACCAAACGCGTCGTCGCACACGTCTATTTTTTTATTTATTTTTTTTAACGCTTGACTGTTATTATAGTAATTCTATATACAGGGTGTTGTTACTTAGTATGTTCATACTTTATTTTTTATAAAACTAAACATGCAGTAGTTGCCGCTTAAAGTAATCACTTTAGTACCGAACAAAATGGATAACATAAAGCTACTGGTAATACTAAAAGAAAATCAAAACATGTACGTAATACAGGAAATACAGCCAATATATTATGATATACGATTAATAACATTTACTGTGATTATAATAAACAGCAACTACTGTATGTATTGTAGTGACAATTAGTGCTATAATATTACATAGATTTTAGATACTAAATTTATAATTATAAATTATAAAATCAAAAATTTAATTTTAATTTGATTAAAAAAAAATGTTTACTGTTTGTTAGATATATATTCATAATATTACATATGTACCAATAATAATGATCATTTACTTGTATTAAAATTTCAATAAGTTTATCAATTATATCAAATCATAAATGTAGATAGGTTATAAATTATTATCTAACTCCATTATTATTAACAATGTTGTGTTTAATAAAAATTCTCGTATAATATTTAAACATGGCATTTTTAAGTAACACGTGCACCGTGTACGTATACATTTTTTTTTAAATATCTTTGGGAGATATAAAAAATTATTCCACCTATGCCCAACCATAGTTTTTAATGGGACAGGTTTTGTGGATAAAAACAGTTATCTCCTACAGTAAGAGTTAACTTAAAACAGTATTTGATGTAGGTATTTGTTTTTATTTATTCAAGTCCCTGATAAATTTTAAATTAATAGTTTACTAATGAATTAACCATGGGCAACGATGCGCCTATTTAAAATGAATAGCACAGGTATGGCCGTATGGGACACATTCTGTACACGGCGGGTATTACAGAATTATATACAAGTAAAGTAGATACCTACTGTACAATATGTTTCTATAGACAGGAACTAAAATAACTTATTACTCTTTCGTCATCGTTTATACTGCGATACGATCCTTGTAATATATATTTTTTACTTAATATATGGCAGCAGCTACAGCAACCATTCTAAAAGATATTGGTAGTATAGCTGTTAAAACATTGCACCATGTTGACGAGGGGAAAATAGTGACTGTGAATAAAATAAATAAAAATAAAAATGCATATAATAAATAGTGAAAACCAGTTCCGGGGATAGCGTGATGTAGAGATAATGTTATGTAGGCATTTAAAATTTATACGTAATAAGCAGTAAGCACATATTATACTACACTACAAACAAAATCACATCAAACTGAACCGTGACTTACCGTAGACAACTTTTTACACGGTTGAGAAGTAACTCTGGGAATGTTTGACAAATAATCGGGAATAAGGATGATGGTATAATTAAAAAATTGTTATTGTTATTATTTTATATTTTAATGATTATTATAATGAAACTATTGCAACTTTGTTTCATTTTTAATTATGTAGGAAAATGCAGATACTCAGGTAGTAGGTATATACACTATATTAATAAAAATATTTATACGACTAACAGTGATAATTTATCATTATCTGAATTTACAGTAATTTGCACACACATTCTCGATAAACTAGCAAAGAAAATATTTCCCAGATTATCTATACCTAACCGAAAAACATTTTATGTACTTAGGAACATATTATTAAACAATAACTTRATTGTTTTAGATGATAACCAACGTACAGGCAGTTGACATGGCTGATGTGTATACTAAAAAAATWAACGGACRGACGTGGAGAAAATCGGACAGCTRAATGATACCGACCGAGGTTTTGTGTGCTAGGTTGGCGAAGAAGCGTCGGGAAACATCATGTGGTTTGGCGTAAAATGGCTGATCCAAACAAAAGTAAAGCGCTGTATTCGTCCTTGGTGGCATTCCTAGGGTTCGCTTGTTTCGCATTAGCCGCCACTGCTATTGGATTGCCATTATGGGGTTACTACGAAAATCCTCAAGGTGAGTTCCGAGCACGGTGGGGTGAACTAATACGATCGATATGTTGTGTAAATGCACCAATCTGAGTTTTATACTAATATATAATTAACACAATTTAACACAATATGCATAATTTATTCACAAATATCGTAGATGTATTATTGGAATCACATATATCCGTACTCACCTATAATACGTAAATTACGTATTATATGCTGTAAAAGATAAAGTGGAGATTCTGTTAAACTGATTGATATTCAATATTATTATAATTTAGGTATACGTAGTTATTCATGTAAGATAATATTATAGTTTATACCCACTATTCAAGTTGTGTGCTTCGTTTATTGTTCGAAAAAATATTATGACGATTTATTAATCATATTTGTTTCATCTCGCTAAACTCCCAAAAACTCTTTTTGGCAAAACAGGATTGTTATTGTTCTTATCTGTCGGCCGTTTTATTATAGTCTGTATGAAAATCCGAAAAACATGATTAACTTATTGAGAGGCAGCAACATTGTTTGTTTCAATCAATAACTTTCATAAGAGGTTAATATTATTCATCAAGGTTTCAATAATTTCACATAAACCAATTTTTTCTGACGGTTTTCATCTACTCGATTATTTTGATTTAATAGGACCATGCATTAGTATTTTTTGGACACAGAATTGTGAGTCCTTATGAAAATATGAAAAAACACAAAGAAATTATTCATCTTTYAGACAGAATRTTAAATATATTTTCTTGTCTGCAATATTATTTTGGTTCTTAATGTAGAATCGACGATCTATCGGTGTATAATTTTGTTCTTAAATGCATTATATTTTATTTTTTTTAGTAAGTGAATAAAACATTAAAATAAAGCACCTAATTACTAATTTACTAATAGAAAAGGATTCATAGTTTCATATATTATGTAAACAAATAGGCGCTAAGCACATATATAATATAATACCTACTGTATTTTCTCGTGAATTAAATTCATGTCATTTTTGAAATTTATAAAATTCTTGATGTTATAATTCCTAAAAATCATTTACTAAGATATGTTCTTGAGGATAAAATAAGAAAATTGTTATGCTATTTACAAGAATTTATATCATTCATAATAATATATGACCAAATATTTAATTTACTAGTATAGAACTCTTATAATAATTTTGTTTTATTTTTATTAACAAAAAGAAATATTATTTTGTTTCAGTATATCGTATTAATTAAATAAATGATCATTTTGATTTTATAAGCGCGTACAATCATAGTTAATGATTAACTCAAACTTTAGGAAATCTGGGAGCAAGGATAATCTAAATACGTTTAAAAAATGTCGTTACCTTATCTGGTGTTACCGATTTATAGACTAAAATATAAATCCATTTGTTTTACTAAAAACTCAATACATCGGTAACTATGTATATAATATATAAATATATAATATGTAAGTTTTCTACAGCTCCACATCAAGCACACGGGTGTTAGATTGAATACAATTAGTTTAATTTCTAAAATGTTCAATTGTTACTTTGCTAGTCTGTGCATGTATATCGTGCAATTCAAGGACATATTATTATATTATGTTCTATAATATATTAATAGAATACACTATACGTATATATATTACATGCAATATTTTTATCAAACTAGGTCAAACTATTATTTTTCTTAACAAACAAAAGCTACGTATTATCTAGAACAAATTTTATGGTAATTTTTATAGTTTTTCGGGAGACTTTAATACTTTAAATTGAAAACAATGAAATCTTAGAATTCTCATAGTTTACACTGTGTATCTCACATAAAATAGAATACACGAGGCAATAATATTATAATGGTTTATGCAATTTTCCAAACTAAATTATTTCCGTTTTTTGTAATAACTGTATAATTTAATGAATCTCAATAGTCATAATTGTATATCTGAATTTATCTTTTTTTTTGTAAGCCTATAAATTTTATACTAGATGTATAACGCTTATATAATAATGAATATTTCTGTATCTACATGTGATACAATATAAAATGATCAAAATAATTTGGTCTGTTATTGACAGCTCCTCATATTTCAGAATGATTTCTTAAATAATAATTACTTACTTCAATATAAAAATTAACGCAGTGAGTAAACTTAAAAATAAAATACCTATGCTATATTTTTCATTGACCATGATTCATTATATGCGTGACTCATTAAAATATTGTCGTTTACTATAGGACACGTAATTTGTTAATGATTTGATTACATATAATATCAATAACCTGTATAGATAACCTTAGTATATTACTATGTATAATTGCTTCACAGTTATTATTCCATAAAATTGTATAGGTTCCATTTATGTCGCTTAAAATTTACTATACATGATAAAAAAAATACTTTTTGTATGGTAGAAATATAATAATAATATAGTTATTAGTACGTTTTATGATTTAATAGAATTAGATTTCATGCTATTTTTATATTTTATACTAATCAATCACAATTCAATCATAGAGTATAAATATAAGAATAGAACACTATGATTGAGTAGTAAATTTTTATTTTATTTTATAATATTGTATCAACTAATATTTTTTCAGAAATAAATATAAGTTTGATTAAGTTAACGGTTGTGGAAATACCAAGCATGTTTTGAATTAAGAACTAAAATCCTTGGGCGACAGGTCGTAAAATCGTTGTACAATAAGTTATTACTCGCATAATAAGTTATATTAATAAAATACAAAAATTAAAATGAACTTAATTAGTAGTTATTTTATCTCATAGAAATTGTGACGGTGTTAACATCAATTATTGACCTGCTTAAGACATGCTTAACATAATAACATAAATACCTAATTATAAAATATACAATTGCTAATAATTTTTATTGTAAAAATTTCCATTTTTTTAGCCGTGTTAAAGTAATCTCTAAAAAACCACAAACCTGATAGGCACATTTAAAATTTGAACTAATAAGTTCCAAATTGATATATTTTCAAATTATTGATGTTTGAGCGTCGACGATGTTTTGCTTATACTTTTATGGATTTTTCCCTTCCCCGCTCCACTTTCATTCTTATTTCGTATCATACATCTTACATCGCGATCAATGATAGTCTATCTATAGTTCTATTAATCCTTGACTGATATGTCTGATGTTTTGATTCAATAAATAAATTTAATTTAGTAATTTGTTTTTAACAGTTTTACTGATTATTGTGTAAAATATTAAACATTATGATAAATTAATACTCATTTTTGAATTTTAATTATTATAAGTTTTGCTTTAAATCTATTATAAATAAAAGTCTAACTGATACTGATATAATCAAAACATAATATGAGTTTTAGTAAAAATATTATAATTTATAACTGATGACTCAACTTCAAAAAATAAACGGTTACATGTTGCATGAGTACTATGTTGCATAAAAGATTTAAAAAATATTTTGGTTTTATTTATAAGCTATGATTCGTACAGTATTATAAAATATATAATAATTTTACTTTTTAAACAAAAAATTAATTTAATAAATAGTGAATAATATCCGAATATGTTTTAATTCCGACCAAAATTATCAATTCGATGACTAATAGGTAGGTATATTCATTAAATATAAATATAGTTTATTAAAATACCATTAAATAATAAAGAATCAAGTATCTAGGTCAAGAGAATGGGTGGTAATTGACATAAGGGACAGTTATAAATGATGTTCGTAACTTTTATGTTTATCATTTTTCATTAATTATATGGTGACATTTTAAACTCATTCATAAAAAATAAAATCTTTAAATATTTAAAACGTTGTTAAACTAAAGCATCAAGTCTATATGAATGTATGATACATTTTGTACAATACTTCAACATTATATGTAAAAAATWAATCAAAAACAAACCTATCATGTTGAGATTTATATGGCATTAAATTGATCGTAGCTAATGTAATATTTTTAGTATAGTAGTACTGTTCYCTGATTGAAAAGTGTTTTTTATCTGATTAAGTAATAGGTAATCCATTATTCATATTTGGTTTCTCTTTAAACAATTTTTTCCAATTAAATTTAAGATTAAGCAAAAGAATAATCCGTAAACAATTACTTGTACTCAGACAATCCAACATAATAGATTTATTTTATTAAGAGACGCGATATAACCAAAAATTTTGTATCACAAAATTTTGCACCACAATAAATTTTTATCTAATGAATTAGGTTCTATTGTTTTAATAAAAATTATCTATAAAAATATTCCATTAAGAAAACATCGTACTCGCAATAGATTGTCTCTATCAAACAGGCTATTGCTGAATTCAGCATATTACACCTTTTTTTACGACAAAATTGAGACAATTTATTCGCGTATCAATTGTCGGATAAAAAAAAAATTTAGTGACCTAAAAATATATATATTATAAAAGTGTTATTTTTTATTAAAACATTTATTGACTGTATTTTTTAAATATATGTTGGGATGCCTGGGGAGAGTTCAGTACMCTTGGATAACCACCCATCCCCTTTTAAATTTTCCACTTAGCGTAGCATATAGAAATATGAAATAAACCTTMATATTTTAGCACAAAAAATTCTGAGATGTTGCCATTTCCCTCAATTTTGAACTACATAGAAGTTTTATCAATCTCGCCAGATATTTGTTTATGTTGATTCCGTCGGCATCTTTACAAAAAAATATTAATTTAAATAATTAGAGTAATACAAATATGGTATGAGTTAAAAAAATAACATAATTTTTTAGTCCTAACTTAACCTCCATTTTGAATGTGCACCACATCGTAATTAATTTATACTTACTAAAATTAAAAATAAAACACACGAGAACTTTTTTTTACTTACTGGCCTAATATTATGTGAAGGAGTAACTTGTGATCGAACAAGAACTTCACTACATATCCACTACATAAAGCGAATTATTTATACAATGATTTGGAAACAGTTATTCATCTTAAATATCTGTAATGCTCATCAATACTTCAGACATTTAATATAGGAAAGAGGTTATCATAAAAATTACATATT